TATGAAGCACTTGCAGGCACTATAATAACTTATGACTTAGATACACAAAGAGTAGTAAAAGTAACTCTCACACTGTTGAAGTAAACAGTCTGAATAAAAGCACAGAATAAAAGCTGCACTTGTATACGGTTTTATGACTTTGGAGTGCCTCAATTACCAGTTCACACTTGCACAACAATTATGGGAAAACTCCCTTGCAAGGAGCTGGCCTGCCCATCAGGAGTAACTTGGGGTTCAATGTCTTGCCCAAAATCACTCACACATGTTGGTGGAGCCCTGTGATTAGTGGATGCCTAAATCAGGAGCTCCCGCTGATCACATAATAATCAGTTCATTATCTGCTGAGCCCTAAATTTCCAATGCTGCTGTTTAATTGACAACCCAGTGAAGAATGTGATTTGAATAAGCTTATTACTCAGCCAGGTTTAAAATTACTCGATGAGTACATCGCCCAAGATATCAGAGTTGTAACTATATGTGCTTTTGATATGTGAAAGTATCTGCCACACATGCAAATGAAGGGGAAAAAAAAAATCACACTATTATCAGTTGTCTTTTTCTTCTTTCAGCTGCTCCCTTTGGGGTCACCACAGCAGATCATCTGCCTCCTTCTCACCCTGCCCCTAGCATTCGACTCAGTCACACCAACCCTTTGTAAATCCTCCTTCACTACTAGGGCTGGACTGGTAATGCATATTAGGCTTTTTCCTGGTGGGTCAATATAATTTTTTTTCTTTGTTGCTATAATCATACAGGCCACCTGCCATGGTGCACTGGCACTACAAACACTGACACTAGTAGTGTAAAGTACTTTGGGGTCCTTAGTGACTAAGTAAAGCGCTATACAAATACAGGCCATTTACCATTTTAGTCCAGTGGACAATTTTTATTAGTAATCCTGGATAGACCAATATAATCTTTTAACGCAACCATCCCTCTCCTACACACACAGATGGACAAACAAAAGCACACAAAAAAAGGTGTCAGTGAAAAGCCAAGAGAGAAAAAGAAAAAGAAACTAGGCATATATGCAGCAAAATGTTTATATACATATTAGCAACTGCACTGTCAACAGCAGTACCAGCAACCACTACTATAAAGCTCTCACAGTCACAGTACTGCTCCTGTTTCCAGCACTAGCCATGGAGAAATGATGGAGGAGGGAGAGCAGTTCCAACAAGAGAGCGGGGAAGGTGTAAATAATATGGTAAGGAAATAAATGGAAGGACATGATTATCAAGGGAGACATTCAAGTAAAATAACCCACCATCAATGACCAAAAGCCACTGCTAATAGCTAAAGGGTAGCTTTTAATTGTGCCATGCTGCACTAAAGCACAACAAAGACTTCCTAACCCAACAACCAACGTGGTTAAACAAAAATAAAGCATAAACATTTATTTATTTATTAACTGATCATAGTCAGCCGCCTGGACCAAATATGCCAGGGCTCATTTGGTGTCCCAGTTGTTCACTTCATCAGTGAATCTTCTCTGAGGTCTTCGTCTTTTCCTCCTCCCTGGCGTCTCTATATTCAACATCCTTTGTCCATCCTCTATTACTATTCTGCACGTCCAAACCACCTCAGCCTTGGCTCTCTAACTTTACCTCCACACCGTTAAACTTCTGATACACTGATTTCTAACCGTGTCCACCTTGGTCAATCCCAACAAGATTTGAACATTTTCAGCTCAACCGTCTTTTTGTCAGCACCACAATCTTCAAACCATACAAGACGCTATGATGTGTGGATGGTCTCAATCCCATCTTATAAAAATTCTCTTTAACTTTTGGTACTGTATATCTGTCACAAATAACTCCATATGTGATGGCAAGCTACATGAACAATAAACTGGACATTTAAAAAAGAAAAAAAGAGGATTCGTGTTTCCTTTCCTGTATCCCATCCACGTGCATAATCCATGAAAAGATAAAGGATTTTAAAATATTTTTGGCCAGCTCAGCTGCAAAGAGAGCCTAAACTCTGGTTAAATAATGAGCGCCAAACCTTCAAGACTAAGCATTTAATGGCTGTCAGTCTTGGCATGTTAATGATTAAATTCTACGTTTACTTTTTTTCGTGTCTTTAACTGTTTTCTCTTGCTGAGAAGTAAAGTCAGCTCAATAGAGACCACACAATGAAACCCAGCAGCTTTAGCACTTCAAGCGCTTTTTAACGCGACGAAAATTCTCATGGAAATAAATCATAAAATAAGACATCCCTGCATCACAACACAGACAATTTATGTCCGCTTCAGACAGATACATACATGTTTATACGTTAACGTGTAACAGGACTTGTGCACTTACCATAAAACCTTACTTCCTGGTGAAGGAGATCATGTGATCGCGAGTCTTGTAAATAAAGCAGTGCAGTGTGGGTAAGCTTTAGCTTACTTGCTACGGTTTCTTGTCTTTATGGTGCAAGCACCATTGAGTAAAATACAAAGAACCAAAACATAAACAAGAACGCGCAGACGATAAAGCAGGAGAAAACGGACAAAAACCTGTAGGCGCCGTTTCTTTTCATTTCGGAGACTGCTACAGAGGCTGAAGCGTTTGTAATGAACGCCGGTTTTAGCTTGTGAAATTACAAACGCAACATAATAGTGGTGAAACCGGTAAAGCTACTTCTGCTCCTACTTTTGGGCTCAATTATGACTTCAGTTTTCACCAGAAATTAGCTGTATGTGAGCGGCGGACCGTACGGAAACAGGGTTAGGGACCGTCGCAAAACTGTGCTGCTGTACAAAAACGCACGATATAAATTAAAAGATGTCATGTTTTGGCCAGGAGGCTAAAACAAACTGAGAAAATCCATCTAAAATAATATGAAGCCCACAAAGTGTCACCTCTTTGTATTTGTATTTCCCTGGATGACAACCACAATATCCAGTGGTAGCCCCTGCACTGTGAAGGACAGCATGTAATAATAGCACCCCCCTTTTTTAAATAGCTTGTTCTACATGGAACAGCTATTACCACATGTAAAAGCCACTGAGCTCTTGAATCCTTCCTGAAGGAAAACACAGGAACGAAAGTACAAGTGCTCAAGGTTTCCTTGTACCTTATCATTTAAACACAAGAACACTCTGAAGTAGCAGATGAGACTAGCGGTTCAAGGAAAGCATAAAATGCTTTGAAAGTACTCAGTTTGTTAGATGGAGTACATGTTTACAGTGGAAATCTTCAACAGGGTAAGTTCAGGGACATTGTGTGAGCTGTGTTAACTGGTTTAATGAAACAAGGAAACATCTCACAGTGATGCTCATGCAGATGCAGACTGTGTCAAGTTGTGTTGCTCTTAACTAATCTTTAAAAAAAAGCTTGACTGATATAAAACTGCTCCTACTCATACAGGCTGAGTTTTCCCCCTTCAACAGCTCATGGTTTAATTATTGTAAGGTGAGATATATGTGTTAGTATTAATAATTGAATTTCTTTTTTTTTTTTGTTCAGATTTTTCTCGCTTGGATAAGACCGCTCCAGGTTTCAATTTTTGATGAAAGCATGTGTATGTTTTTCTGATTCAGACCTTCAACACAAACTGGTTTATTACAGTAAACTATGAGGTAAAACTGAATTGAGATTTTCAGATCTGTACCATGGAGTCCATTCCAGTTTAAAGATTACAGATTAAATGAAAAACAGTTCTTATTTTAGTACAAGTAACCTGAGAAACACGCCATAGAAACTCATGAATGATGCCCGTGCTGGGTTATTAAGAGAGAGGGGATGAGGGACATTGGCATATTGTTGAAAATGTCCTTGTTATACGTCCCATACAAGAGAGGAAATATAACAGTTTCAGCACACTGATAAGTTAAATGAAATATTTATGCTGGTAAGTCACAAGCTTTGCAGATTTTGGTGAATATTATTGAAACTGCCACAAAGAAAATTAAGTGGCACTATATTATGAGAAATAGAGTTCTTGTCTTTTTTTCTAGAGCCATTTCTCCATTTTGCACAGGAGAAAATATGAATGTATTAATTGACAGTATATGTGCATCATAATTTGCTAAAAAAAATGCTAAAATTCCCCAATATGGCTTAAAAAGAAGATGGCTACACTGTGGTCATATAGGGATGGACATGGTCAGCAACATTACTCGGGTAGGCGGTGGCATTTACACAGTGCTCATTTAAAGGATCTTCACTTGGTACTACAGGACCTAAACTGTGCCAAAAAAATGTCCCTTCATCATTACATCACCAGCAGGTTGAATCACTCATACAAGGCAGGATGGCTCTATCTATCATCTTGTTTAGGCAAAATTAGGTAAACTATCTCAACATTGCAGGAGAAACTGAGACTCAGCAGAGTAGCCAGTGTTTTTCCAGTCTCCGCTTGTCCATTATAGATGAACCTTTGTGAACTGTAGCTCAGTTTCCTGTTCTTAGCTGGAAGCACTGGCGCCTGTTGTGGTCTTTTACTGCTGTAGCCCATCTGCTTCAAGATTCAACATGTACAATCAGAGATGCCTTTCTGCATACCTTGGTTGTAACAAATGATTATCTAAGTTACTGCTGCAGTCTGGCTATTCACCCCGATCTGTGAAAACAACCTGGCATTTTCTTCCAGAGAACTGCCTTTTGCTGGATATTTTCTCTTTTTCGAACCGTTCTCTGTAAGCCCTAGAGATGGCTGTGTGGGAAACTCTCAGCAGATCAACAGTTTCTGAAACACTCTGCTTGTCTGTCACCAACAACCATGCCGCATTGAAGGTCACTTAAATAACCTTTCTTCCCCATTCAGATGATTGGTTTGAAAAGCTGTAGTTGAACAGGTGTACTTAATAAAGTGACCAATGGGTACATTTGATGGAATCTTGCTGCAGCATGGGCATTGGGTTTTGTCCCAGGTTAATTAGGTCATGTGTTCAGCATTTCACATAAATGTTCTTGCCAAAGTCAGCACCTCAAACTAATGACAAAATAAAATTAGAAGAACAGTTTGAAGTTAATAGTGTTAATGACGTGAGGCTCGAAGGACTAGCACATTAGAACATTTTATTTTTAGTTTTAGGTGTACATCATAAACAGGACATTAAATGTCATCAATTTTTTTCTTTCAGATTGACTTCAATTTTATTTCATTACTGTATCATGCATGAAATAATATGCCAGCCTAAATAGGCTTACAAGACACTGATAACAAAAAACAGAATATAAACCAGAACACTGTACACCCACAGGTTTTAATCATACTCTGGTGATCATTATAAGCATTATTCAAAAACTTTGCCCTCAACATGAGACACCCAGCATTAAAAGCGCATAGGCAGCAACTTCACTTTGACATAAAAGTATCCAAACTACTTAAAAAAACAACAACAAAAAACACACACACACAAACAGCAAAACATTCAGTGGGACATAATATTCATTACAAAGAGTTACCTCAATGGAAGCTCTTTGCAGAACCTTTTCAAGCAACAGAGAAACAGCATATAAAATGAAATTTTCTTCCCCTTTGTCTTGTTTTTAATGAGAAGTGTACTCTGTGCAGTCACACACATCCATCTTCCCATCATCACCTCTTCCAGCTCAATTTCAGCCTCCTCTGATTTGTTTGATTTGGCTGCACAGTGACTCACAACATTGCCACGCTCATTACAACATTATTTCAGACACTATGATTCACATATTAAAATATGAAATTCAGTTCTTTGTCCCTGCCCCCCCTAAAATCTGAAGTGACACTGTGCAAAAAGTAACAGTGTAAGGAAATGTCCTTAATTCCATTTATCCTTATTTTCTTTTTACAAGGAAGCTGCTAGCATAGCTAACACGGGAGTTACTGGGAGAAAGAGTTGCACCATGAAGCTCTGTGTATAGCCTGGATGCACTTGAATGCGTTTGTTACAAAATACTGACACAAATCCATTAAAGAAGTCTCAGATTTATAGTGTGCTGCAGCATTTTTGAATCATTTTCGACACTCTTTGGCTAATGACGTGTAGCGACGTGCTACACCTTATAACAGATAAGCAACTTATTCCCATCAAGGAGAGAAACAAAACCTTTCTGCAGTTCGAAAGAAGACTGTGACTGTGACAAATAGTTTGTTCTGGTAGTAGTTTTGTCTTCATAATCAGGTTTTTGCTCATATATTTCCAATTTCATTATACTATGTATAATGACAATAAAGGCTTTCAATTCAATATATTAACCTATTAGACTTAATGGCAGGAAATAGATGTGACTGAATGTGCTTGTTTAGAGTTGCCATTCTTAATTTAAAAAACATAAAAAATAAAGACAGTAGGTATCATAATTCAGCCCTTCCTCGATCACTAGTACCAAGCACCAAGATGCATCTAAAGTCTCGTACTCTGTTTAAATAATAAGAAGGAGAATGACTCACAATGTGGTTGTCATTTTCAAAGAAAATCTTCTCCTTGTTCTTTTTTTAAAACAACATTCATCATATTTCACATTATGTGTCTTATGGTATATTCCTAGCACAGAAAATCAATTAAAAACATTTTTTTCAAAATACAATTTTTACATAGTTTTTAGCACAACTTTAAGCTCAAATTCTTCTGTGACACAGTCTATTATTATTATTATTATAATTACTATTATAATTAGTGTAACATAAACAAAATAAATAACATTAAACTGAAATATTATCCTCAGCTTGAGTCTTGAGTCCAAAGAATTGGTGTTTATAAAAATAAAATGCGGAACATAAAAGGAATAGCACACTTTTTTGGTCAACGCTTGATGAGACATTTTTTCTTTTTGCTAATTCTGCTGTTGTCTCAACATTTAGACGCCTGCGATTGTGTTCTGCTCATTTACAGTCACAAAGGAATGTTAAGAATATTTTTAAAGACCCGTTTAAAGTTTCCATTGCAGAGCGGGTATATAAAAGGGTTTAGAGTAGAGTTGATGTAACCCAGCCATATGGTGAACATGTGCAGGTCATGGTGGACGCACTCTCTACAGAAGGCCATGACCATGAAAGCTATGAAGTATGGTATCCAACACAATAAGAAAGCAGCAATTATGAAGCCCAGCTGCTTGGCTGCTTTGTGCTCTTTGTGGATCCTCAGACTGTGGATGCGATGGCGTGATTGGTCAATGAACTTTTGCCACGCCTGTCTCAGAGTAATTTCATTATCCGCGTCTAATTTGGCATCTTCTACTCCTTCCTCGGCCCAAGGTAGAGCTTGGCTGGGGTCGTAGTTGTTGCTGAGCACAGATGTGTATCTCTGCACGTCTGATACCTTGTTGGTATCGCAGACTCCGCTCACTGGGTTTGGCACTGTCACATGGCATTCGTTTAAAGACGCTTGAAGTTTGTTCTCATTATTTCCACCCGAGCAAATCACGTCCTGTGGTGCCGATGGCTGGCTCTGGGGAACCTCGCAGTCTGGTTGCTTCTCCTCAGGAGACAAAGAGCACCTTTTAGTCTTTCGTGCCATTCTGAGACCTTTTGTTGTCATGGCAAGCAATGACGTCTGCTGGCACTTTACACCAATTTTTCTGTGTGCTCTCGATAGAGCAGTTTTATTGTTTTTATCAGCGTCTTCAAGAGGATCTGTCTGTTCGAGAGTATTCTGGTCTAGCAGTTTTTCTGTTTTGGATCCTTTCATTAAAACCTCACTTTCCCTCTTAGGTGACTTGGAGTCATTTTTCACAGGGGTTTGAGGATTTTGTCCATTGTCGTTTTCTCCAAATGAATCAGTTGGATGAATGATTCTCTCTCTGTCCCGTAGATGTTGTCTTACTGCCAAATAGATATATGTGTAAAACCACAACATCAAAACAGAGGGTACGTAGAAGTTGAAGACTGCGGTAATGACCTTAAACCACGTGACAAAACGGAAATCTGTGTCACACTTATTTTCCTCTTCAGGTTTGAGGTCCACGTGTGTGAAAGACCTCCATCCTAAAATAGGAATAATCCACATCATGGACAGCAGCCAGGCTCCAGAAATCATCACACTGGCTTTTCCCCGTGTTCGATATTTTAGGTACTTAAGCGGCTGTCTCACTGAGCGGTACCGATCCAAACAGAGGATAAATAAGCTGAAAATTGAAGCTGTGCTTGCCACGTAGTCCATAATCAGCCAAAACTGGCAGACAGCCCGCCCCAGCTTCCATTCATCCTCCAGCAAATATACCAAGTTCAAAGGCATGACCGTGGTCCCTACAATGAGATCCGCCACAGAGAGGCTAACAATATAGAGGTTCCCTACAGTGTGGAGGCTCTTCTCTTTCTTCACAGCATACAGTACGAGCAGGTTCATTATGATCGTGAGAAGGGAAAGAAATCCCAGAAAAACTCCCAGCAGGGCGCTGTTGATGCGATCATGGAAGGTCAGGGTTTGATTGTTCCTCAATGAGTCACCATCACGGAGTCCACTCCAGCTGTTGTTGCTGAAGTTTACATAGCTGCTGGCATTGTGGTGTAGAGGGTCTGCTGAAGGTGACAGACTAGATTCCATCATGTTAGGTGAGATGGACACCTCTAGATCCTGTCACATTTTGGAAAGCTTTCATCCAGTGCTTGTTTAACTAAACACCATGGCATGTGTGGAACGGCAGGTTTTAATCAGTGTGTTTACACTCAATGGATAATGGACAAGTTTACTTTCACTCTGGAAAATGTGTATTCCTTCACTAGCCCTGGTCAGTTTATCCACAGTCTACGGTCCATTTTGTTGTAAACCCCAAGTAACAGCATCTGGAAAACACAAAAAATGGCAAGATTAGACATGTAAATGCTGTTAAACAACGTTCTGTATAGAGTTCATGATGTGGATGATTGATTTATAATGGATTACATAATTTCATGAATATAACTCAGGGTTAAAAAATGTCTTCACTTGAAATGTGTAAGAACTAATGTTGCACGAGAACAACCTTAGCGAGAGTATACAAGACTTTTCATGGACTGCAGGTGAGCAGATGTCTCTCATGAAGCGCTGCTAAGCTAAAGGTTTATTGAAAGCAAAGCAACACAAAGACTTAAAGACCTCTTTTCAGGACAAGCGGTCAACGAGGTTTTTGTCATTTTTTAAAAATGTCTATGTTTAACTTTTGAACTAAATATGTGTACTGGAAAGTTGCTAATGTGTTTGCACTGTTCACTCATATAACCAGTTCTCACGGCGTATTGACGATGGTGTAACTAAGGAGAAGAGAAAGTCCAAGTAATAAACGCCCCTTTCAAAGAACCAACCTGTGTCTGTGTAGTCGTGAAGAGAGCTACAAGACATTTGAAAGCTAACTGTGAGTTTTTAAACACTTTTACTCTTGAAAATAAAAACACAAATCATTATTCAAAGAACATGGCTGAAACATGACCACAGGAAAGCTTGAGAAAACCGCCCGAAGAAAGATAAGGTGAAGAAGATACAGTGATGATGCAATATTTCAATACACAGATAAAGGTTTCCTGTAATCTTTCCACCTTTGCAGTTTGGGTTTGAATTATTATTAGTCTAAAACCTCCCTTATTCCATCTCTTTCACTGTCCAGCTGGCTTTCTTTCACACTTACGCAAGGGGAGGGCGGCGAATCCCTTCAACAACACAGTAGACAAACTGTGTCATAGGCGGAAAGGAGCCGTGAATATGCTGCCAGCGCTGTATGATGGAACCTTTGGATTGATAAAAGCCTATTCAACACTACACTTGATACTATGTTTGAATGTGAAAAGCACAGCATGACTTATTAAAGCATATCAATATGGTACTGGAAAAGCACTTATCTGAACTGTTTGGGATATTGATTTTTAAGAAAGTAGACTGAAATAAACCTGTTGCTATGGATGCAGGTGACATTTCTGTTTGTCTTTCTGTGATTAATGTGTGAAATAAAAGATGTCATTTTGCATTTTTCAGCGGTCCCTGCACTCCCGTGCTAATAAATGATTTAATCTGTGTAATTTTGGTAATATCATCATGTAATTTCACTTAAATGGAATTGTACTGTGCAGAGGAAACAAAACAAAAGCTACATATTAATCTTTTCCTTCTTTCGGCTGGTCCTTCAGGGGTCATCAGCCTCCACCTCATCCTATCCTTAACATCCCTCCTCTGTCACACCAACCCTCATTATATCCTCTTTCACTCTTTCTCTGTGGTCTTCCTCTTTCAGTGCTGGAATCTATCTGTGTATGTGTCTCAAAGATGACACACACTCAGGAGAAACACATTAAAAAAAAAACTTTAGTGGGCTACTTATCTTACTGGTTAAATAACAGTAGTCGGGGCTGGAAAGTTTTAGTGATGTTGTCCACTGAAAATTGACTCATACTGATGATTTGATATTAAAATGAGTCAACACTGGAACAATTATTACGACAAAAAATAGAAATCCAGATTCCAAATAAATGAACTGTGGAGCTTTGGTGTGGATGGGTGGATAAAGTGGATTTAATTAAAGTGTTATGCCTTCAGGGTAGGTCTATACATGATTTCCTCAAGCGCAGACACAGACAGGGTAATATCTCAAGAGGAGAAAAAGCAGTTTTAAGACAGAAATTACCAAGAAAACTGGCCAATTGCTAGATATACAGAAAAATGGGGAAAAGCGAGCATGCATATAACTGCATTTACAGCTTATCCGACATATTGTGAGCTTCTTGTTACGTGATTTAATTGAATACATTCGAGTGACTTGAATGATTTCGCAAGCTTTTTTTTTTTATTATCTCTGCCTGAGTCTGACTCATTATCTATAACTGCAAATCACGTCTCTCTGTATACAGCGCCTGTTTATACAACAACTGCCCCCACAACACAAATATTTAGGACCTTCATTGCTGACGAAATTCACAGGAGGCATAAATAAACCTGTTGCGCGTTTTCTGCATTTGAGCAACGCACTTCTTGTCACAGAAAAAAGGAAAGGATGATTTATCCGGTACTAATTGCACAATATGATTATCTGTCTAATCTCATAATAACACCGATGAACCGTGAGACCTAATGAAGCCCGTCTATTGAACTGAAAAATGGCTCTCGTATATAATACTACAAGTCGGCGTCAAAGAACCACCTGTTGAGCCGCAGCAGGAAACGTTTAGGTTTACAGCACCGCCTCAAACATGTATAGTTTCTAAGAATAGTCGTGCTACAAAATGCTTTTCTCGGTTGCCTTAAAACAAGTAAAAAGTTAAACGGTTTAAAAAAATAAGTTAGGCTTAAGTGCGAGAGAAAGTAGACAGTTTCACACTTGCCATTGATGTAGAGGTGCATCTGAAAGAAATTCCTCGTATTCCAGCGTGTATTCCCGGTGAAAATCAGGAAAGGATTGTAGGGGCAGAGGTTGGGATTGCGAAGAAAAACGCCTGCTTCCTTCCCCCCACTCTCTCCTCAGCGCTCTCTTTCTCTCTCCCTCTGATGAACTTTGGAGTTTCTATAATATTCCAGCGGAGAGCCTACTCCTGCAATAAAAAATATCCTGTTGCTTGAACGGGATGAGCTGGCGCACTTTAATTTGCAGCGGCATGAATCAGTGGATGATTCACTGTACAAGACGCAGTGAGCAACTTCCATTGAGCTATACCACGAAATCTGGAGATAAGAGATTTTAAAAAGACACTGGATGCTAAACAATACGGTTTTCAGACAGAGTACGGAAACACCTGTTTGTCTTTACATTTCTAACACTCATATAAGCTACAATTGTGCATATGATTAACATTCAGCATAATGGAGAGATGATGGGACATCAGTAAGGATCACCAGCAGGGATGAGAGACCGCTCGTAAGAGGCAATGATAACGTCAGAAATTCCTCCAATCACAAAACAGAAAAGGAAATGACGAAACTGCGTGATCTGTGTGCCAAGAATGGAAATTTGTGAGAAAAAGCGGGTGTCCTGAACTCTTGAACTCGGGTTGCGTGTCAGACGATCCAGTGAAGACACTTAAAAGTTTAAATGTAACTGTAAAATTGTATTAGTGATTTGGTGTGGGTTGTATTAGTATTATTAAGTACATGTGTGTGTGGTGGGGGGTTGCACACGCAGTGAGACTACTTGTAGGCAACTTGAGTCATCAGAGCTAATTTTGTGCAGTAGATGAGAAGATAATACCAGGAGAAATACTTTACATAGACCATATTTAGGTCAATTTTTATTACAGCAGTTGAAATGATGACAAATAATATCTACTGCACAATATGACGATAATCATAATATTATCCTGCAGATACCTGTCTGCGAGACAGATATATAATGGAGGCTGATGTGGTATGAAACATTTCCTGTATCTGTCCTTGTGGAACTGGAGCTGAATCAGCCTGCTAGAGAAGGTTTTCTGCTGACTGTCCAGTAAATGATGCAGAGGGTGGTCAGGATTCTGATGAATAACAATTTATCCTCTCCACAACTTCAGTTTGAAGTTTGAAGCCAGATTCATGGAGCAGTCTTCCTAATCAGGCTGCTCTGATGCTGCTCCCCCGTCAGACCACAGCAAAGCACCCTGCACATGCCACAACTGACTGATCAAAAATCATCATTTTGCTGCACACGCTGAAGGATCTCAGCTTTTTCATAAGCAGTAGATCCTACTTTTCCACTTTCTGCAGCAGCCTCTATGTTGGTCTTCCAGTTCAACTTGTTCAGCCTCCTTCATATCAACACCCTGCCCCTGGACAGACAAAACAGCTGTCCTCTTCTTTCAAAAGTCACTTTCCACCTCAGTGATTTTTACATTCAGGAGGAGACCTCTCCAGACTACTCCACAAAATAATTCCCTAGTGCTCTGTCCTCTCCCTCCTTGCCCATCAATAACAGGTCCAACCACTGCAAAATGTTTGTAGGTGCCATGACCTAGAATTGGGCCATGGTACAAGGTGAACAGGACAGAGACAGGACAGTCCCCCCAGTGGAGCTCCTGTACTGCACATCACCAAATCAGATAGAGCGCTGCCCAATCTCACATACTGCCAACTGTCTGTCAGTAATCCATGAGATGCTGGACATGTATAATGTTGGTATAATGACATTTCCTGTAGTTTCGGTCTCAGTAGCAGTGGCTCAATCGTATTAAATGCACTTGAGAAATCAAAGAAGGTGATCCTCACCCTGTAGCTGTTGCTATCACATATGGGAATGCTCTCTGCAGCAGATGAGCAGCTGATGACTGCTCCTAGATTTGGACTGTAAGGAAACAGCAGAGGGTCAAAAGGTGTTTTCCTCTGCAGGCTTGGGCCAAGATTAATAAAAAACAAACAAACCCCAAAACAGTAGCTCTTTTTCAGTGATACCAAAATCCCTGAAATAAGCTTGAAGCTACAGAAACACTGTAGTGATGACCCAGCTTTTGTTTGTGGAACAGCAAACAGCATGCTGTACCACATGCACAGAATATGGAAACCCATTATAGAAAATCTTGCACCTGTTCAGGTCCCTTTTGGCATGCACTTTACAGAGCCTGAGGCTGTGTGTTATTTCTCACATGCTATTCCTCACAAGAGGAAATTGCTCACTGGATCGAAATCTTTCATAGGTTACATCCAGAGAGACATATCAACCAGTAATAACAAATAAACAGAAAAATGAGTTCATTACAATAACAAGTGACTGGTGACTGTGCTTACTGCTTTTGGACACACAAAGATGTAACATTTAATTTTGTTGCTGTATAGATACCTGGTGTTGATCTGGATGATGCATCTTGTTTCTGCAGAGTGACTTCTACTTTGATTCAGGTCCTGTGCTTTGGTGAGTATTTTTAAGCTCTTTTAACTGGATAATTTATGTGTTTCATGAACATTTCTGGAAATTTAAGTATAATTTTGACAGAAATCTGTGTAATTATAAATAATATTCCAAGGTCTACTGTATAATTAATGTCTTGCTTAGGCATGTTTATGTTATTAATTTAAATTCATATGTACTTTGATTATCTGAAATACTACATGGATTTGCTGTCTCATACAAAAAAAACAACAAACCACTTTATTTCTTGCATGCTTCACCAACAGGTTGGATGTCTGTTTTTTCACAGTTAAGAAAGAAATGTGCTGAATGTTGATCCTCTCTGAGGTGAAATGCATAATGCATAATTGATATTTTACAGGTATCTGATATTTCTCCTGTGAAATACAGTAATCAGTTTTCCCTTCACTCTGAGTGTCTCTGCAAATGCTCTCTAGCTAGTACTGATGAGTATTCAAACTGCATTTATTTTAGCTGCGCATATCCCATATCTGTTATTTTCAAAAATGCTCCATGTGGCAAATGTATTTATTTTCTCTCTCCCACTCATCTGTAAATGGAGATGAAAATACAGTTAAATGTGAAAATGAAGTGTATACAAAAAGTCTTTAAGCGATTTTTTTTCAATCTTTTAAACAGATCAAAATGTGCAGTTATGTGTCTGCAAACTGTGTAAGAAATCTGCTGTAGGTTGACTCTACACAGATCTCCTGGACTTGTCTCAGAACCAGTGGCGGAGTGGGGGGGGGGTGGTTACTGGGCTTAACCCCGGGTTGTTTTTCAGAAGCCCGGGGTCTTTTGGAGTGTAATTTTTTCATAGTTAGATGCCTGGCTGACACACAATATTCGAAGCACATAGTGCACACTGTGGGAATTTACGACTGTGCGTGAATCCCCCCTGATATTGGTATGATCCGAGCTCAGGCACTAAGCGACTGAGCGAGGGGGCGGGGCAGCTGCTGCCTGCAAGTGCGCTGTTGGAGAAATGCAGCCAGGCAGACAGAGGAGAACTGAAGTTCGACCAGGTACCAAAGCAAATCATTCGTACTGTACAAATAATGTAAATATGATGGTGTGTCACGAAAGATTGAAATCAAACTGATCACTTGACCCATTATTACGTTACTTGCTCTTCAAGTGAATCAACAAATGGCGAAATGAAAAGCCGAACAACAACAATGCTGTTTCTTTAGAGAGTCTTAGCTTACATGTGTGTTTATTTCATATTTTCAGTTGTTACCCTCCACAGCTAAATAAATCGGTTTAAGTAATGTACTGATATACAAGAATGGACATAAGGGACTTCTTTCAAAAAAAAAAAAAAAACCCTGGTAGTATTTTATATATTATGCTTTGTATGTTGTTCAGTATATTTCTATGCAAAACAAGAGGAATTTCAATACACAGCAGTATATTCACAGTTTAAACCAGATATTTACATACACTTTATGGAAAACACAAGAACATTTTTTTACTGTACAACATCAATTTAGAGTAAACTTGTTTTGTTTTGGATAAATCAATATTGAAATATCTTTTGAATTAGTTAAATGTCAAAATGAAGAGAGACAGAGCTGTCTATTTATTATCACTTTCATCAAATTTAGGATTACATATACACTAAGTTTATTGTTAATTAATAAGAAAACTCCAGACGATTCCATTCTGAGCTGAAGAAGCTTCTGATAGGTTAGTAGAGTCCATGTGAGTAAATTGGTGGCACACCTGTGGATGCATATAAGGCAAAACACAGAGCCTGTTTCTTTAACATGGGAAAATCGAGAGATGTCACCCAAAACGCCAGGAAAAGAATTGTGGAGCTCCATAAGTGTGGCTCAATTTTGAATACAATTTGGTGCCATTTACAATTAAGAAATACAGATAGTTTCTCTCTTTACTCTTAAAGTTAACAAATATGTTTTTTTATTTATCAATCTAAAAAAATAAACATTTAGTCTGATTTGATATTACATTTAAAAAAGTGTGTTTTCTGAAGAGTGTGTAAATATCTGGTTTCCACTGTATATTTGATGATTGTCAGCACAAAGAGGGAGAGAGAGGAACAGAGAGGGAGAGAGAGGAACAGAGAGGGAGATGGAGAATGAGGACAGAACAGAGAGGGAACAAGAGCAGGTGAGACACATGTTAGTCACATGGTTGTTTACCCAAAGTATCACCGTATCATAGATCCTCATGTATCTCGCACCTAGTGTTTCTTTTTAGGTTTGTTATTTTTCAAATTCTATATTTATTAAGTTATGCAGGCTTGTTTGCACAACAAGGCTAAATAATTATATAAACTTTTCTGAATCGAAATAGTGGACTTTGGTAGAATAAAAAAATAAGTGTAGTGCAGGTCTATGGTGATTTTTAGTGCTACTATCATCTAGTTCTGATTCTGGTTCTGTCTTGGTTAAGTCCTAAGTAGTCCTGATTTTGAACTGTTGTAGTCCTGTTTTAATTCTGGATCAGTTCTGGGTCTGGTTGAATTGGGGTTTAGTCCGCGTGTCTTGATGCAGCCCTGTTCTGCCTTGCCTTAATTAAAAAACTAGTTTAAGGTGTCCTGCAGATGTGATATTTATTTTCCCTATATGAAGTCATTTTTTTGAACAAAACTCAAAACAGAGCCTATTAATCTTTCAGTCATTTCTAAACCCCCCCCAAATCCCACATGCATACTACCCTTTAGGGCTAAGCCCCGGGTGTATCAAATGTCTGCTCCGCCTCTGCATGTTCAGAACTATTGCTTGATTAACAAGAAACAGTATGGCCTTACCACTATCTTCTGTTTATAGCTGGACTATTTGAAACTACTGCACTGTTCCTGAGTGGGTGAAGTGCAGGACAAAAGGGGCACCTACTTGACTACTTGACCCCTAAGTGTCCTAAAATCGCTTCCATTTCAACTCCTGCTGTTTGCCTTCACTTGCAGTATTATTCTAGTCGGTGTGTTGATACTGATAGACAGAGAAATTCAGCTCATTCAGCTATATTACATTTTAATCCATCTTATATGTCT